CAGATATACCCAACACATGAATGGACAAGGATGTGTGTGGACGAAACTGGAACATACACATAATAAGGGTGAACATGTGAAGACACCGACGAACACAGGGAGGAAGGGGAACGAAAGGATAGAGAACATGAGGAGAGGGAGGAGGAGGGTGGAAGGGCGAAATTGGTGCAAACCCCGTACGCATTAACGATGTTGCAATTTTTTTCTTTCAAGTTCTCTCTTATAGGTCCCTACAAGGATGTATTTTCACTGAGGGGAGTGCCCGTTAGAAAAAAACCGTTTTTTAATCTTGAGCCGTGCCAGAGCACGATTATTCTTGGAATTTCACTCCGCGAATCAACGTTAGTGCTGCGTCCTGACGATCCTGAACCGCTCCAGAACACCATTCCTGTGATTTCAGCACCGCGCATCAACGTGGATGCTGCGCTCTGACAGTCTTACATCGTTCCAAAACATCAGTTCTGGAATGTCAGCTGCTGTAACTTGTTATGCGAATGTGCGGTGCACGCAGGCGAGAGCCACATTTTGAGCGGGAACCGTCCCCCATCCACGAATTCTCGCCTCAGCCCCGCGAAATGTGCGCGGGGCTAAGGCGAGAGCCACATTCTGAAAACGCCCCGCTCTCCATCCGCGAAGCTCTTGCAATTTACCAGAAAGAATGTGGGCGGCGCTGAGGCCACATTTTGAAAACGGCCCGTTCCCCAACCGTGAAGCCCCAGAAAACTTTGAAGACGAATGTGCGCGGCGCTAGTGCGAGAGCCACATTTTGAAAACGACCCGCCTTCCATCCATGAAACTGTCGCACATAGTTTGGAGCTCGATGGTCATGAATGGAAAGGAAGGCTCCGGCAAAATGCCCGACCCGCCCTACCGACACGTTTCGGGGTGCGACGGAGGGGAGCTATTTAGAAAGAAGGGGATGGAACAGGAGCAGGAGCAGACGTGCCCGGCAGGCCTTGGCCGCGTCGTTGCCCCCGGGCCTCGAGGACGGCTACCCCCACGGGGCTGGCGGGGCTTGGCAGTCAGAGGAACAAGAATCAAAGATACGTTTCTTCAAGATTTCTCTGTGTTTCCAGATTGCCCAAGTGTCCTGCAGTTCCGCACGGGCTCCAGAAACGAGGGCCGCTATGTACTCCGAGCTCGCATCATGACATCATTCTGTCGGCAGCTTCATCCCCTTCGAAAGCAAGCCCCAGACCTCCGCCGTGCCGTCGCGAATTGAGTTCAGTGCCTGCGAGTTCCCACGGTTCCTGGCCCCAGAAACCCGCTCCGAACGCACCCCGACACCACTAGCAGACTGCCCAGGATGACGAATTGGGCAGTGGCCGCGAGGAGCTGGGGGCCTCGTGCTAAGATAACCACGATGTCGGAGCTATGGATCACCGTCGTATTCCTCCTCCTCCCGTCTTGTCACTCTGCCGCCAGCATCACCCACGCATGCTAATGCCTATACGACCACCCTTCGGGTGATAAAGAGGTTGTGTGGGGGGGACCAACTGATGACAACTGCGATCGGACACCATCGGGACACCCTGGGGACATTGTAAATGCCACCATCGGGACACTATTGTGGTCCATCCGTCCACTAATTGTCTATCGATCTCACTATCGGCCTCCCTATAAGTCTCGCTATCGACCTCACTATCGATCTCACTATATGTTTATCGATTTCGCTCACGGTCTCACTATATATCTTATTACCAGTTCCGCTATCGATCTCATTATCGATCTCATTTTGTCAATCTCACTACCGGTCTCACTATCGGTTCATCGGTCTCAACATCGACCGCATTATCTCGGTATCGGTCACAGTATATGATCTTATTATCGGTCGTTCGATGAATACACCAGTCTCACGGTCAATGTATTTCTATCCATCTCACAATCAAGTCCACTTTCTTATTATTATATATCTATATATCTATCTGTGTCTATCTATCGATCTATCGATCTCATATACATGTATGTATTTATATCTATCGATCTCACGGGACAACCATCGAGGCATCCATTTGGGCACCATTGCGACACCATCGGGGCACCATTTGGACACCATCTGGACACCATGGGGACACCATTGGGGCACCATCGGGGCACCATGGGGACACTATGGGGACACCATCGGAACACCAATCGGGAGACCAACTGGGACACCACCGAGACACCATCGAGACACCACGTGGGTACCATCAGGACACCAATCAGGACATCTCTGGAACACCATCGGGACACCACTGAGACCCCATCGCCACACCATCGCCACACTATCGCCACCAATCGGGACACCACCAGGACGCATCGGGACACTAACGGGACACCATCGGGACACCACCGGGACACCACTGGAACACCACCGGGACAGCATCGGGACACCATCGGGACGGACACCATCGGAACACCAAGTGAAACACCAATCGGAATAAATCGGGAGACCCCGGCGGAAGACCCATGGCCACCGCCGCCCAACTCGGGGGGGGATAGTCTTTTGGCCCGCCGGCGCCCTTGCCAGAGGAGGTTCATTCTTTTCGCCCACCCGCGCAGCTTCACCTCGCTCACACGCACGAAATGAAAACGAAATCGATTTCCTGGTGGTGGGCTCCTCTTTTCACTGCGATCTCACCCCAAACCTCCGATGATGGATGCGTCGGCTCGGCAGGGGCGACGCGCGCGAGTTCAGAAATCTGGTAGTTGCGTGTGAGTTCCGCGGCGGGCGTTTCCTGACCATACTGCTTGGGTAACGGTTCGGACGTGCGTATCCCACAGAAGCACTTACGCAGTATTGGTACTTCTGTTTTGCGTCCCATAGACGGCCCTGTCGCTCCCCCCTCGTTCGGACCCCCGCCGCCGCCTTTCCGCTGCTCCCGCTCCTGGTCCTCCCGCTGCTGTTTCTCCTCTCCCCCTCAGCTCAGTCGCCCGCATCGGTAGGTTTCTCTTACCTTCCCGCCCGCCGCCCCGAAATAGGCACACCAAACAGGGCATCACTGCGAGGCCGACTTTCAGTTCGGAAAGTCCCTGGAGAGGAATCCTCGGGTGATAACGGGCGTTAGTCGGGTTTGGGCCGGTGAGGTAACGACTTGCCCCTGCCCTTTCTGGGAATGTGATACCCCAGACCCGTCCCAGATGACGCCGGCTGGAGTCGTGATGTTACCAGAGGGAGGGAGGGCGGCCGTGGGAAAGGGCGGTATCACGAACAGGAGAGCTCCATGCGGAAAGGGCGGAAAGGACACGGGCATTTCAGCATGTAACATTTACACCAGAGAAAACCCCAATCGGTGGATTTTTGAATTCTTAGCAGGTGCCTCAATCGGCCGCATTCCCGCCCGAAGTAGAGTTTGTGTGTGTGCGTGTGTGTTCGCACGGGAAGATGAGGGGGTATTGTTCGGGTGATGCCTTTTGTTGCCATAATCTATATATTCAAGCCTCTTCTTCTCTCTGTAGAGGCGATGATGGCCCCAGCCGGCAGTGCGGCCAGGTCCCCGCTTGCGGTCCTCGCGGTGGGGCTCGCCTGGATCAGTTGGCGCGCGCCTCGGCGCGCCCTCACGACGTGCAAGAGCATGCTGAGGGTGGGAGGCGACCCGCGGCTGTGGCTCAGGGAGTATCTCCGGGAGAAAGGCCTCGCCAACACGGATCGAGTGGCCCACGAGGTGCGCTGCATCTGCGAGGTTTTGTACATGGCCGGTTGCTACGACCAGGTGAATTTGGGGAACTGATGGTGTTGAAGGTGCTCTGCAAATGGCTGGCTGGTGTCGTTGCCAACCCGCAGCGTGTGCAGTCGCAGTCGGCCGAGGACGCTGCGGGGCCAGCCATGAGGGCGCATGTGGCGCGCAGGATGCGAGAGGGTCGTGAAGGACAGCAGACGCTGCGTGGCGCCCGGAGTGTTGGCCACGACGACGGCCTCGGCGGTGGCGGGGGCGGCGGTCGGGGTGCGGCGGCGAGGAGGGCAGAGGAGGCGGGGGCGGCCGAGGCCGCGGCGACGGCGGGCGAAGCTGAGGCCGCGGCGGCGGCGCCCCCGGGGCTCAATGATGGGCCCGGTGGCGGGGGGGTCCCCGACACCAGCCGGTTTCAGGGGGCTGGCGGCCGCCCCGGACTGGCGGCTTCGCGGGGACAGCGGAGCCTGTTCCCGCTTCCTCTGCTGGCGCCAGACTCGGAGTGCCCCGGGCGCGGTCGAGGTCGTCTGTCTATGGCGAATGACGCGTTGAGGGTACTGAACTGGATGGCGGGCGGCAAGGATTTTGTGGGCTGATCGCGGCCCCGACGTCGTGCCCGACGCGATGTAGGCCGACGTCCAGAGAAAAACGCGCGAGTTGGCTGACAGCTGGCACCCGCGCCCTTCCCACATCAGCGACGAGGCGGCTCTGGAGAAGCTGCTTCAGGAACGCTCCCCGTATCAGGCGGCGGGCTGTCCGACAAGGGTCACGTCCTTCAAGCTCGACCTCGTGAGTGCCAGGCTGAGTGCAGGAGTGTCCTCCAAGAACTGACGCGGCGCCCCATGGAGGTCACCGGATTCCTGGAGGACTATCAAGAGCGCATGCTGGCGCCGTCGGTCGACGTGCACGAGACCGTTCCCTACCTCGATATTGTCCTGTCTGCCCCGCCGCCTAGCAGAGATCGGCATCATATCTTGGACGTCCACCCCGAAGTGCCAGGTGGTCCTCTTCGCGGTGGAGAAGGGCGGCGGCGCGGCCCAGCGCCCCATCGTCGACGCCAGGCGGGCCAACGAGTGCTTCAAGGCTCCGCCAGGCGCGTCTCTGCTGAGTTCGGAGGGGCGTTTCCCGCGTGGAGGTGGAGCTTCCCGCCGACGCGCCGCTGGGTTCCGAGCGGGCTGTCGAGCTGTTGAGCGACTTCTACCTGGCGGTCAGTCTCTCCGACGTCTCGAACTGCTTCCATCGGCTGCGCGCGCCTGCGTGGCTGCCTGACTACTTCTGCCTCCCCCGGCGCCGGCCTGCGCGATGGGGGTGACGGGCATGGTGGCGAACGGCCGCCGGGTCGGCCGCGCGGAGGCATTGACTCCACGCTGGGCCGTCCTGCCCATGGGCTTCACCTCGAGCTTGTGGATCGCGCAGATGATCAACAAGGCCATGGTGGCGAGGTCTGCGCCCTCGCTGCCGGGGCCCCCTCTGCAGGACTGCGGGCCGCCGCTGGTGGCGAGGCCTGGGCTGGCAGAGGAGGCCGACAAGATCGGCGTGAGCGACTGGCTGCGCGGCTGGAGCGATCTGGTGGCGCAGACCGACAGCAGCCGCGAGGGCTGCGCCGTGGCGCGGGCCTTCTGGCCCCTGGGCGCCGCGAGGGAGGCGGGCCGCACCTCCGAGCGCCAGCGCTACCGGCGGGTCGGGTCTCGTCGCGCCCGAGAGAGCGCCGTCGAGACCGCGGGCTTCAGGCGGCAGGCGGACGGGAGCTGGTCGGTCGCCTCGGGGCCAGATGAGTGGGACTGCGACGAGCCGCCCTCGGAGGCGGCGCGAGATTGGGAAATCGACAAGTCTTTTCCTGAGGTGCCCGCCAGTCTCTTGAAGTCAGATCTCCGGCGTTTAGTGAGAGTGCAAAAATGGAAGAGAGTCGAAGGCGTTCCTATCAAGGAAGCTCGAGCCTTAGTGAAAAGGGTTCATTCGTGTTGTGACCAGCGCACGCGTCAGTGATATGAGACAGCTGCTTCTTTGTGATAATATGTCGGTCACCCTTGCTTTTGGCCAGAGCCGCGCCGACAAATTCCTGCCCCTGCTCCAGATTCGAGTTTTCCAGGCCCACGGTTTGGCCAGGAATGTCATTGGTGTCATTCGTTGGGCCCCTCCTAAATTTATTTCTCGGACAAGGGTGCCCGAGTTTTTTGAGGATAGCACTGCTGGAAAGACGTTGATCGATGAGATGCCTTCTGCGAGTGCCCAAGGCAAAAGTTTTAAGGGGACTTTTGAATACCTGCAATCCCCGAGCAATTGTAACTTAGCCGCTCCTGTTTCCGCAGCCCCTCGCTGCAAGCCCGCTGGCATTTTGGCCCGAGATCTACCGCGTTCTCTTCGTCTTTCTCCCGAGCCCACAGGCCACTGCAGTTATGGCGGCCAGGGGGCGGCAGGCGAGCTTGCCGCCGGCGGGGCCTCGGCCGTCCAGGGGCCAACGAGGTCGCGCGTATCTGGCCGAGCAGCGGAGGACGACTCTCCGCCCGCAGGACGTCCAGCTGGCCTTGCGCGATCGTCTGGACTGCAGTTGCCAGGAGCTCGGCCTCTTCGAGAACGATGAGCAGCTGGGCCGCGAGCCGACGCCGGCCGACGTCGGCGAGAGCAGCAGCGCCGACGACGAGGCGAGGGGTGGACCCGGCGCCGCTCGGCGGGCAGCGCTGAAGCGCACGGGCCACCAGAGGCGACGCAAATTCCTGGACCTCGCCCTTGCGACCGCCGCGCCGGGCACGAGCACCTTCCTCGAGCAGAGCTCGGCGACTCCAAAGGTGCTGGGGCGATGCGAGACCGAGGTCGGCGGCTTCATCGGCTTCGCGGGCGGTCACCCACTGGTTCGCGACGAGCAGGCGGGCGCCGCGCTGGTGGGCTACTTCAACATCCTGTTCTTCAAGGGCTGGGGCGCGAACAAGGGCGAGCAGGTCTCGGCTGGCTCGATGCGCCTGGCGCCGGCGTTCTCGCGGGCTGGTGGCCGCCAGCTCCCCCGGGCCTTTCGCTGCCTGAAGGGGTGGCGGCGCCGGGCGCCGGGTCGCAGTCGGCGGAGCTGGCCGCTCGCCCAGTGGGCCGGCGTAGCTTGGCGGCTGGTGGAGCGGGGGTTGTTGCAGATGGCTGTGTTCCTCCTGATATCCCCCAGCAGTTACTTGAGGCCGATAGAGCTGATGGGTCTGTGTCGCCGCGGTATCATTGCGCCCGCTGCGGGGGTCTCTCCATTCTGGAACCTGGCCGCGCCCCCCTCGCATCACGCGGAGCGGAGCAAGACGAACCTCAGCGACGTCAGTATAGCGATTGACTCCCCACATCTGCAGCTTCTGGGACCGACCCCAAGAGTGCTGGCCAGCGGGCCACGGGAGGGGTCAGTCTGGACGTTCACGCACCCGCAGTACCTGATGGAGTTCACAGCTGCGCTGGCTGGGCTCGAGATCAGCGAGGCCACCGTGCCACGTCAGACAAGGCACTCGGGACCGTCGATCGACATCGCGCGGCGCTACCGCAACGCCCGGTCAGTGGGCGAGCGCGAAGAGGGTCCAACGGTGCGAGAAGGGGGCCAGGCTGGGAGAGAGCTGTGAACGATTGTCAGCTCCCGCGCGGGGGCTGATCGAGTCCTGCGAAGCAGCGCTCGAGGACATGCTCCAAGGCAGACCGCGCGGCGCGGCGCCCCCCTGGCGCGTCACTTCAAGGGTCGGTGCATTATCGCCCTCTACTGGGGCGCCTCAGGGGTCGCTCGAGCGGCGGCCCAGCAGGGTTGCAACGCTCGCGCGTTTGATCGCGCCCGCGGACCAGCAGAGGACCTGACCAGCGACAGAGTGCTGAAACGTCTGGGCGCTGCGATACGCCTAGGCGAGGTGCTGGTGGCAGCGGTGGGCCTGCCGTGCGATGCCTGGGGGGGCGCAGCGGATCGCGGGCGGCATGGCCCGATCCGCTCTGTGGAAAAAAGCCCCGGGGGCTGCCTGAGCCCCTCCTTGCGTCTCGCCAGTGCGTTGAGCTCAGGCGAGGCAACAACGCATTCAGGTGTGCTTTGCGTATTATTCGAGCGTTGTGTCGTAATGAAGTTCCGACCATTCTAGAACGCCAGATCAACTCGAATCTGGCGCGCACCCGAGCTTGTAAGTATCGTGCAGCGATATAGGGGACACCAGAGTGTTTGACCTGTGTCAGTTCGGGCGGGGCTGGCGGGGGCGCGCGAGGCTGGCTCTCTTTCATCGTAGATATTGCAGGCAGCGAAAAAATTGATGGTAGCTGCAAGGGCGGTCTTGGTTTTTGTAGTCGAACAGGCCGCGTGCATTTCGCGTTAGAGGGGGCGGCGCCATCGGGCATGAAGTGGACAGCGATCGCAGTCTCCTACCGTCCAGCTCCGCGTACAGCCATGGCCCAGTCGCTTCTCTCCCATGAACGCGATTCGATCGCTACACTAGCTTCTGGCTGACGCCAACCTTCTTCCCCTCCAGCGCTTATACATATAACGGCGCACCGGGTCCGGGGGCCCGGGGCCGGGACCCCGACCACAAATGTGGGCCCCGGGGGTCCCGGGGGCTCGTCGGGCCGCCGGACGCCGTCCAAGATCGTTCGCAAGCGGCTTCGGAACGCGCTCCGATGGCTCCAGATGTCTTCCAAGACGCCTGTCATGACACCAAGAAGGTCCCAGAAGCCTCCAAGACGCTCCGAGAGGCAGCCCAAGAGAGGCCCAAGAAGCAAACATCGTGCCATTCCGATGGGAAAACGTATATGTTTCGCATGTTCGCCTCTTGGGCTTTCACCGCGTCCAAGACGGCCCAAGAGGCGCCCAAGACCGCCCCAAGACGGCCCAAGAAGCTTCCAAGAGGGCCCCAGGACAGCCCAAGAGGCGCCCAAGAGGGCCCCAAGACGGGCCCAAGAGGGGGCCCAGAGGGGGACCACGAACCGCAAGCTCGAGCCTTCCGCCCCAAGAGGCCGCCAGGAGGCCCCAAGGAGGCCCCTCAAGGGCCCCAGGAGACCCCCAAGAGGCCCAAAGGAGGCCCCGAGAAGCCCCAAATCGGCCCCCAAAATGCTTCGAACCTGCTTCCAGGAGGCCCCCGACAGGTTCAGAGGCTCCCGAGAAGCTACGTCAAACTCCCAGCGAGCGGCCGGACGAGGCCCCCCACAAAATCACAAGAGGGTTCCAGTATTTGTATCCTTCAGCGCTCTCTGGCCTTCTTCCCCCTGCCCCCTTCCCTGCGACTTTCGTTGACTCAAGCTCGCCTCCTAGCTAGAACCTAAGCGCGCGCGAAGCGCGCGCGTGGTTCTAGCTCAATGTGCGTGTGTGTGTGTGTGTGTGTGTGTGTGTGTGTGTGTGTGTGCGTGTTTTTCTTGATGCCCTATCCCGCCCGTCCCTGGGAACCTTCAGGCTCGGGTAGCCCTTCTCGGATTTGGGATGTTCTGGGCGGGGGCCCTCTCACTTCTCAGGCCCCCGCCAGTCTGTGCACTGACCGGCCGGCGCCCAAGTCGCGTCGGCGCGCGGCACCTTGTAGCAGAAATTGTCCCCGCGAGAAAAATACAACAGCTTCCGTTATGTGCTTGCGCGGGAAGGTGAAGGGCATTGTTCGGGTGATGCCTTTTGCTGCCATAATCTAAACTCAAGCCTCTTTTTCTCCTCGCTCCCTTGGCCCTCGCTCTCTCTCTCTCTCTCTCTCCTTTTGGGGCGTTTTGAGCGGGGGCCTTCTCACTTCTCAGGCTCCCGCCAGTCTTGCGCAATGACCGGCTGGCGCAGAATTCGCGTCGACGCGCGGCACTTGGCGGCAGAAGCTGCCCCCGCGAGGTAAATGCAACAGCGCCTGAATATACGGTCTTCTCCAGTATAGTTGTTTATGTGATTATCTCGTTTTTTTTGTTTTGTAAATCTATCTCGTCATCTCTCTTTCTATATATATATATATCCCTTTCTCTTTGTTTTCTCTCTCTCTCTCTCGCTCTCTCTCTCTCTCTTTCTCTCTCTTTCTCTCTCTCTCTCTCTCTCTCTCTTTGTCTCCCGAATTTATGTATATATATATATATGTGTATATGTAAATGTGTGTGTACATATATGTAAATATGTATGTTTATGTATGTATATATATGTGTGTATATGTGTGTATATATACACATCACTCCCGATATGCGTGTATACATATATGCATGCATGCATGCACTCTCTCTCTGTATGTCTGTCAGTGCGAAGCCGAACCAAACGTTGCTGTCCCCCAGGTTAGTAGCCAGCCGTAGCCTTGTGGTGTCCCGATGGTTTCCCGTAGTGCCCCGCGGTGTCCCGCGATGTCCCGTGGCGTGGAGGTGTCCCGAGCTATGCAACATACAATGATATGCGATGCTAGCGATAGTGAGATCGGTGGTGAGATCGATTCTATAGGCTTACGCCACATCCGCCGACCCCTTGATCGGCTTGGGGATGTCGTGTTGCTATCCTGGGGCGTACTTGTGTTGTCTTGTTTCTTTGGGTAGGCGGGCTCGAGGCTCTTCGGGGCCATCCCCGAACGAGTCCGGGGCATGCGGGGCCGCCCACGGGGCGAATCTTACACGTCTGGAGGCCCCGAATGGGGATGGCGGATGCGGGTTGCATCACCTGTGTCCAGACACGCGACAAGGCAGTGATCCGTGGCGGTGGTGATGGTGATCCGTGGTGGTGGTATGGTGATGGCGGTGATCATGGTGCGGGTGGTGGCGGTGATGATGCTGGTGGTGATGTTGATGGTGAGATGCGGATATGGTGACATGGTACCAAACAGGAGAAAGTGGAGGAGGAAGAGGGGGAGGATGGGGGAGAGGCAGAGGAGGGTCCTCGGAAGAGGAGGAGGAGAAAGAGGAGTGACGATTCGGGGAAA